GTCCGATTGCTGCCGAACATCCGTTGTTTCGCAGCCAAGTACGACGACACGTGCACGAGCGTCGATTATCACTGAACATAATTTTAATAAAATGACGATATCACACATGCAAATTGCCTATAACGAGAATTCCTCGCGCTCTTTCTCGTTAATTGCAAACTGATAACAATTAGCGGGATTAGTTTTTATATTGTCAATTATCAAGTGACGCGTGTCCTGTATAAAAGTAAATTTCATTAAAAACTTTGAGATATAAATCAACTTATCTAAATTATTTCATCTTCAAAAAATCAATTATTAATTTCAATTAATTAATTCATTAATTGAAATCGATTCTATTTTACTCAATTCAGCTCGTAATAATAATTATAATTAAACAAAAATGTTCTAGACATTACTCAGATATTCACGCAAATATTTTCTATTAAATTTTTCGGACTTACTTTTTTTTTTATTAGATTTTTAAAAATTTCTATTGAATCGACAAGCAAGAAAAATCGAGACCACTTTATTGTCAAAGGCAAAGAAGAATTGAAATATTTCTGTTCTCTGTGATTAATTCTGTCCGATTGAACAAGCCGAGAGCAATTAACGCGTCATATTTCAAGCATATCGGAACGATTGGAATGGAAGTGGATGCTTGTGTACTTTATTAATTTTTTTTGAATTATCGCTCTCTCGTGACAATCGCGAAAGGTAGATCGATACTATGTCTCGTTTGGATATGCAATTGAATAAATTATCCTTTCTCATCAAATAAAACGAAGCTGTACCGCCTGTAAAATGATTCGCGCGATTTTTATGCGTCGTACACAACATTTATAGGTATTTTTTTTTCATAAATAACATCGATCATACAGAAAATAAATAAATGTTTTATATAAACTTTTCATACTCTTCAAACTCTAGGATATGAAATGAGCAAAATACATAACTAATTTTTATATAAGTGAATTTCATTCGTTACTAAAATACTCGCCTGTCACAAATCAAATTTCCCTTAAAATGATTTCACTCTTAAAAGGGTTCCACTTTTATGACCAAAAAAAAAATAAGTTCTTTACTATTTATATTACATCAAAGATTTAATTTACGCGCGCTCCAGTTATTTTACCCTTGTATCATGCATATTTATAAAATTTCATGCATTTATAAAATTTTTATTAGGACTATTTTCATATCTGTTGTCTTTTCCCGTTTTCGAGATTCCGTATAATAGTAGAGCAAACAAAAAAAAAAGACCATTCGATATATCTCACGCAAAAACATAACGTATAAGATGGGTCTCGAAGAGGGAGGACTTCGATATGATAAAATCGTGAATCATGTAATAACAGAACGCCAGTGATTTTTGATGTAAATAGAAGCTCCGAGTAAAAACACTGTGCGCGGGCAAGGTAATGCAAGGAGTATGTAGCAAATGGTCTGATTTATCGGCGACATCGATATAAGCCGTCGAGTTTTAACTCATCGATAATAGGCAGACCGAGAACAACGAATTTCGACGCGGTAACGCGGTACCGTTGACATTCGTCGCTACGGCACGACGACGACGCGACGGATTTAGGCGCGTCGATAAATAATGTCGCCAGGTGCGCGAGCATGCCGAAAAGCTCGCTCGTTCGCGCGAATGAGTCTTCCATGTCGGTGGCCACGGGTAAATTAAGGTCAGAGCCAAGCGAAAAGCTGCGAGAAAGATAGAGAGAGACAGATAGAGACAGATAGAGACAGATAGATAGATAGATAGATAGATAGATAGATAGATAGAGAGAGAGAGAGAGAGAGAGAGAGAGAGAGAGAGAGAGAGAGAGAGAGAGAGAGAGAGAGAGAGGAGAGGAAAGGAGAGATGCGAATAGATATGCAAATCACGTATACTCGGCTGTTTACGTCTGTCGATCTGCTGTCAAAGCAACACGCCGCCAATATAACGTGGAGAACCGTCCGACCGCGTGAGCTCGGCTGATAGATGACTTCGGTCGCGAGTAACCTTCAGCGAGATGTGTTTGCTTTACTGTCTGTAGTAAAGCCTAATCCGAATTAATCTAATTAAATAACATGCGACGTTAAAAGATAGACGAGATTATCGTTTCATAATTTCGAAAATATTAGCAGCGGTACTCAGCGGTAGTCAGTTCTTATGCTTAAGATTGTTTTGTTTAACAGGATGTCTACTAAAAAGAAAAAAAAAAATTTCTTTGAGAATTCCTTGATTTTCAAGGCAATTTGTTAAAAATTACAAGCAAAATGAAAGTACTTTTTAATGTATCTTAGAAATAAATATACATTTATTGTGCAAAGCCCTTAATATTTTCTTTTAAAATTAAATAAAAGTCGCAATAAGAAATACATTTTTTGGTTGGTTAAATAGCATCAATAGCATAAAAAGAAAATATATAAATGCAAAATCTCAATATGGAAATAAAATAAAATATTCTTTGAGAAATTCCCTACTTTTTTTAAGACATAAACAAATTCCCTGAGACTTCCAGATTTTCCAAATTTTTGCAGTTAGTAGATATCCTATTTACATATATACTTAAGATCTCATAAACTAATCACAGATTCGTATTAGCATTATTTAAGACGATTCTTGAAATAAGAATGAACCACTGCCCTAAATGACGTCGATCGAGGGGTAATTTCATACATAATTGTGAAATCGTGTTCAGCAATATTACAGCTAAGGGATCTAATTTAAGAGTGTTTGACATTGAAAACAGAAGACAGAGCGTGATAAATGTTCCAATGGAGGAAAGTCGTACGAAAATTAAATTTGTCAAGAAACTTGGAGACGAAAAGGGAAGGGGGGGGAGGGAATTAGGACACCTTTTATACCCTAGATAGAAGACGATTTACCGGTTCGGTAGATTAACGACTCCGTTACTACCTACTAATTAAATATTAATTTATTACCTCGGGCTCGTGAGAGATTAACGCGGTGTTTATGAACTTATCTCATTATTGTGACGTGTACCTTTACATGATTGACATCGATTCTCTCTTGTCAAGGTCTATTAATTCTACATAAAGCAGACAAAACAATTCACAAAAAGGATAACGCGCGATGCATCCCGACATACGTATACCTCGGACGTTTTGTAGCAATGTGGTTTTGTTTTAATGTTTTAAATACGCGTTTTAAATTACGCTGCAGTTTCCCTTTAATATCTGGAATCCGGCTTGCACGTAAAACTTTAATCCGCGTCGGACTTTTTAATCTGTTATTCTCCGATTAAGGACATTTATTTCCAAAACAATCCTGGAGTTTCTCTCGCTTTAATACGCAGAGGTAGAGATGCAAGGATTCCCTTTTAATCGGCGGTACAATAGTAACGGCAAACGTAGCAATTAACAACTGTAATCGCGACAATAAGAACGATTCTACGAAACTAGATAACGAAATCGTCGAACTGGAATCGACGATAATAATTGTCAACGATGGTAATAACGATAATGGTGACAATTAAATATCAGCGATGAAATAATATCAGATATAATGATCGCGCTAATATTTCGAGTTTCGCAATTCGGATTTTCTTGCCGGACACTCCGCAGGTGTCTCGACGTAACGATTTAGAGCGACACGATGACGACGAACGAGCCCGAAAAGTAACGCGATAACGCGGCCATACGCTTCAAAATGACCTGCTCGCACATGCCTTCGTTATCATTAGGCTTTTCTTTTAACCGATAATCGGAGCTCACGATCTCCTTCGGTGCGGTCACTGCTCCGACAATTTCATTCATTGTTTGACGAAGCTATTTCGGAGCAGGATAAAAAAAGCTTGATTGGAAAAGAAAGAGATACTCACGTAGATAAAAAGAGAAGGTCGCGAACGCATTAAAGGCGGAAACACTAACCGACGGCGAGAGACGACGTTTCTTTCCTGGTGCTCGCCTGGCCGAATTGGAGGTTAACCTGTCACTCAATAGCGAATCGATTTTACGGCGCGCGGGAGCGAGGGTGGGAAGGGGAGGTAGACTAGGGGCCATCCGCGCCGTGCGTTCGATCACACAGAAAGAAAGAGAAGCGATATTATGTAATTTCTGGCACTCACCTGGTTCGCTGAGCCGTGCGGACGTTCCGCGGTTGACTGATGCGGATTCCCGATGCGGGCGTCCCGTCCGTCCGTAGAAAATGGAGATAGCGGAGAAGAGACGGTGATTATGGGGAAAGAAAGACAGAGAGGGAGAACGTGCGGGAGAAGCGACGAGGTCACATACACACGTACACACGCCGTGGCAGCCACCGATATGATTCGGCGACGACGATGGTGGTAGTGGTGTCGGCGGCGGCGGCGGCGGTGGCAGCGGCTGCACACTCCGCGTTTCGCGAGAGATAAGAAAGAGAAAGAGAAGAGGAGAGAAAGAGAGAGAAGGGGAGAAAAACGTCAAACTTTATCACGAAAGTAGCATGATGCGCGACGGAGCTGCAGGCAGCGTGCGACAACGATGGGAGAGAGGATCGACGACGACGACGATGACGATAACGACGACGACGACGACGACGACAACGACTTCGGGTACACACGCGCGGCACCACCGACACCGACACTCGATGACGTCATACCACCGGCGGCAACATGGAGCCAGCCGACGACGTACGCGCGAACGACGCGCGACACGAACACCACGACGGTGACCACGACGCGACGACAGCCGACCGTTCGCTATTTAGCCACAGAGCCGTGCCTGTGCGCCACTTAACCTCAAAAACGTCCACGTCCGCGTCCGAGTCGCAAGAGAGTGCGAGAGCGCACAACACAGTGCCAGCCGCGGCAGCGGACGCGCCCCGTGCGCAGCAGCAACGAGACACGAACCCGAACTGAGACGAAGGCCCGGCCGAGCCGCGCCGAATCGGCCCGAACGCGCCCGCGAGTGCCGCGCGCTCCCATTGGCCGAACGCTCACTTCCCACTCCCGCGGTGTTTCGCGTACGTTCGGTCATTCTCGCTGTGAGCCGCGGCGGCGCGGCGAATAGTCATTCCGGCGGCGCGTGTGACGCGATGAGGATGTGACTATGCGAGCGATCGATCGTACGTAGTGTTATCCTAACCTCTTCGTCGATGCGCACGAATTATCGATCGAGACTCGTTTGATCGCTCTTACAAATAACAGTCATTCGATCGTGATGCGAGCGATAAAACCGCGCGCGAACGAACGCAGTTTTGCGCGATCGTTCGACTGTGCCTAACTTCACTCGCATTGCATATCGAGTCAAAAGTGTGTCGTTTGCACGGTATCGTTAGTTTTCGATAACCATTCATATGTCCAGTATTTCGAGGAGAAGAAAGATTAAAGGCCACTTACGCTAGGCTAGGTATGGGAAATGATAAGCAAAAATTGAATTCGAATGACGAAGTAAATTTGGTATACTTTGAACACAGATAGCTTATATCGTATTCCAATTCCTATCGTCACCGTCTGATTTTCTAATCGTTCTTATCGTGACCTTATATAATCGAGTTCTGCAAATACGAGAGACCTCAATATTAGTTAAGTTATTATCAAATTCTGCTAAGATCAGCAAAATTTGAAAAAAAATATAGAAATTGATGTTGTCTCATTAAATTTGTCAAATAAAAATCGGGTTTAATATCTATATAAATCTACATTAATCTCTGTTTAATTTATTTTTTTATTTTTTAATTTCAAGAATTAAAAAGAGATAAAAAATAAAATTAAGCCGAGATTAAAATTAATTTACGATAGAAATGAACATAATTGATTGAAAAGTTTGTGTGTCAGATATTTAGTAAAGAATATGTTAAATTTCGTAACACATTCGTCAAAGAAACATCTGTTCTGTATGTCGCATTTACGTAAAAAAATAAAAATTCTTTCTTAATAATGAAATAATTTTTTCAGAGTTTCTCGAATCGATCAAGATGACGTCGTCACCTTACGTCTCACGAATAAATCAGATCGACGCCGCTCAGTTGGACACCGAGATCTATAAGGTGCTGAGAAATCAAACCAAAGAAATCACCAAATACAGCGCACCCGGCAAGATTGACAAATGGCAAGCAGAAGTGGACGTCGTTCTGAAATTCCTCATCTGGAAGTTCTCGCTACATCGGGGCTCCTCCACGTTCGGTCAGCGACTCCTTAATCTGCACTACGCAAACATCAATCAGAGGAAAGCTGTACTCTACTTAATTCTAAATGTTCTACCTCAGTATGTGAAAGACAAATTGGCCAGCGAAAATCTATCGGATCGCGGCGCGGTCGTGCAAGTATTAAAGTCCCTCGTCGAATGGATGTCGAACGCGATCAATCTCTTGAATCTCGTCAATCTCCTCTTTTTTCTCCATCGGGGTATACAACCTCGCGTGATCGAATTTCTGCTAGGTCTTTCCAGTCAGTCAATAACAGCTCACCGACCTAGAACTATTGGTTACTCGTACATGACGAGGGAGTTGCTCTGGCATGGTCTGATGGAGCTCTTCACGATCGGCATACCCATGATAAACTTCCACTACTTCAAGCATATAGTGACGAAGCTGTGGCGACGAGCCGAACCGTCGAGGGGATTGCTTCCAGTAATGAATGCCACGACCAAGTGCGCCTACTGCTACGAGGACCCAATCCTACCGTCACACGCCGGCTGTGAACATTTGTTCTGTTACTATTGTCTACAGGCGCACTTCACTGCGATGAACGTGTTCCAGTGTCCTAGCTGCAACGCGAAACTCCACGTCGAAGATATGAAAAGGTACACCGTCGCGAGTGCGTCTTGGAGTGATGACGAGGAGTCAGATGACAGTTTTGAGAAAGTGGGCGATGGATAACATATCAGTTTTATCGAAGAGAGATTGTATCAAAGGTAATATTCATTAGTGATGTGATTCATGGTGGATAAATTAAGTGATACTTGAATTTTCAGTCTACAAATATTATCTTTGCCAAATATTATCTTTACAAGTGAAAATGATTTTATTATTGTGCATTGATGTTTTTAACGTGTTAATTCTTTAACATAAGCGTGTGTTAAATTTATGTTTGAATGTGTTGATTACTTAATACAAAACGTAGCAGATTTTTTTCACAAATATACCAATTTGTGAAAAATATACCAATTTGCCAAGTTAGTGTATTACATCCAAATTAATTAAATTGTAAAAATGAATAAAACATAAATGAAATTTGCCTTTAATCGTCAGCGGTTTATCGCGAGACACGATGAAGGGGCGTATGCGTGTGATATTAATATTTTGTTTTTATTAAAAATAGCAATATACAAAATCTTCTTTATTCTTCATTTCAATACAACAAATCCCGATTACGGGCGATTTCGACATTCTTCTAGCGATTTCCTTTTTTTTCCGAAACAAACAATAATAATAGATCAATCTATACTTTTTTGGCTCTTATATCAAAAATTAGATTAGATTATATCATATAAAAATATTATGCTGCGCTGTATATTATAAAACGCTTCATCTGCCGCCACGCAGGTCGATGGATCGATTGTTTACATGCAATAATGACATTTCATCGATTAATTTATCATTTAGTTGCTGCACCTGCGCTTGATGGGCGGGCACGTCCCCAGATTTATTATACGAGAAACAACATTATAAACACTCTAGCACAAGAAGAAAAAAAAACGCGAAACACATACACATAAATTAACACTTTCCATCCGCCTCTCCTACGCCACTATAAATTTCATTTTGAATCCGAACTCTTATCGTCTTTCCTTGGAATGTGTGATTTTTATAATACAATTGTATAGCGCGGACTCTTATATCGTTTTGTGAGAAATTTCTTCTCAAAGATCGGGCTGTTTCTATCCTGAGATATCCGCGTTTACACTTGCGCTCTACTCTAATACTAATCTTACTAATCGCGACAGAAACGAAGCTCACTCGAAAAATAAGACGCATGGAAAACACGATGCATTTTAAATTACGCGATTCTGTTTTTTTTTTTTTTCTATTTTACATTTCATTCGCGTTCCACTTTTTTCGAATAATGTGTGTATCTGGCGTGTATATCCTTCTTAAAATAAAATCTTTAATTTCGAGCTTGGAAATATTGACTTTTTCTCCAAATTACAGATATTTATCACTTGTACGTTTTTTCTTCGGGCGAACTCCTCGATTATTCTCTGCATTTCCTTATCGGCATGTTAGAGATGTTGATACTAAGATATTCTAAGACAGTGTCTCTTCTATACCGAGAAGTTTGCGATTTTGCATCGGCCTCGTTAAGCGGAAAAAGAATTTCCTGATATTTCGAGCATGAAAGAGAGAACACAATGATGCGAGGCATTTAAACTATCGATACGTGGAAACAGTTTTGCGCATGATGCCATCATAGCTGCTGGAAGACGACACCACGTTTCGGACGAGATCGGTATTCGATATATTTCCCGAATCGTTTGCGTTTCACAATTTTCCGAGCTTGTCCTTCAAGCAAGATAAGGGGTGATGCATTATGTATAAAATTAAAAGATTCTATCCAAAACAATGCTAAACTCGCCTTTTCAAAGACTCGAGAAAATTAATGAAATTTAGGACATTCAGTCAATGATATTATAATTGAATGAAATAAAACTAGATTTTGTTCCAATTAATTGTATTAATTGAACTTAGTTTCAATAATGCGAAATATAAATTGGAATAAAATCAGGTTTAGCCTAAATATTAACTTCCACAATTTTAGGATTAATTTTCTGAAGTTTTTAAAAAGTGAATTACATTGCTAATCTCTCTAATCGAAGAACACCTTCGAATTATACAAGTAATCGCAAATCTACCGTTATTACGAAGAAAAATCGTTGCGCAACGATACGGTCTGTGGACTTTAAATCTTCCTGAGATTCTCAGAGAAGGTCTATTATTTTTTTTTTTTTAATCCATATCATTTTTCATGGAAATTTAGGAACCAAGAAAATGAAAGTCATTTCAGAGACGCTGGAAGTTAAAATGGATTAATTCATAATTTGCGTGAGATTCATTTCAAATAGCGAATTACGTACTCGGAGTCAATCCCATAAATTATAAGTTCATCCCATTTTAAATTTCAACGATTTGTATAAATCGATTAAATTATAATATAAAGCTGAATGAGTTAGGCAGGAAAAAGCGAGTCCACAGTTTTCTATAATCAAACAATATTAATAGTTCGTAATATTTTCTCTTCAACGCAAAGACATAATGAAAAAAAAAAAAAAAATTGCTTACAATTCGCAATTTCGAAGATTTACAGCGCATTCTTGTAAACGCAACGGAATCCAAGTCGCATAGATTTCGCGAGCGAGATCGAGCGCAATTATTGATTATGATACGCGTTGGCTGATTTCATCTTCATTTTTTTTTCTTTTCTGTTTTCGAAAAAGAGAAAGAGAGAAGTCTGTCATGTTATTTGCTGGTTGCAAAAAATGTCAAGTGAAGTAGGGAATAGAGAAAATGATAATGAAAAAAAACTGTGGTTTTTACAGTTTGAAGGCATTTGGGCGTGTCTTCTCTCTTTCCGACGTAATCGATTCTCGTTAATTGAAACGCTCGAGAACGCCAACTAGAAACTCTTTGTTTGTCGTCGTCATCGTTCTTCTACTCGCACGCGCATTTCCCTCTCTTTTTAACGCTAATTTCCGCGACTATACTTATATTACCCGTAAATAAACTTTGCACGGGATCAGTGCGTATTCACGTAGGAACCTTGACGGATTTCTTTTCAAGATTAGATAAAGAAATCGTCGATTGTTGGCCGGCAAAGGGACGATCTCGCCGTATGCAGAGTGTTTTCCTCTCAAATTCCACGCATTTTTTGCAAAAATTTTAAGTATTATAAAAAGAACATATTTTTGCTGAAATATTTAAAAATTTGACCAGATATGAAAATAATATTCAAATCTGTATATTTAGTCAAATTGTTAGATATTTCAACAAAATTGCTTTCTTTTTTTTTCCTCATACACACAGAGAACAGATGGGAAAAGAAGCTGGAAATTTTTTTCCAAATCAAAACATTTTCTTCGTTATTTTCCGTTTGGAACAAATTAAATTTTTCAATCGAATTTTTCCTCATGCAATCTCTCTTGAGGGTTTTCTTTTCAAATTTTTGGAATTCGAGACACACTGTATAACGGGCAAAGTGTGACTTTTTAATGAGTGCTTTTTAAGCTCAAGGAGACGCTTGCGCTGCTTCGTTGATTCACGATGCGTATGTGTATATTTTATCCGCAGCGACAATGGATATATTACACATGATATTCGTTCAGTCGCGCACACCTCATGCTTACAGGATATTTATTTCTCCGGCGATAATCGTTTCGAAACCCCTTACCGATCAGAACTCCTTTTGCGAACAACGATTGCTATCACGATATTCATCGCTGCCACAAAAATATTATCTTTTACCACTTATAGGAGCGTAACTCCCGGGGCAGCATAATTGCAAATGCAATTGGATAAAGGTGATATGCAGCGTTTAAATAACATAAAAATTTAAAGATCCTTATAGAAATTAATCAAAGGGGTCTTAAATGTTTTCGAGTGGAAACATTTTATCTTATCTTTAAAGTCTTTCTAAGTGTCTTCCAAATTTTTGTGTTCTGAAATTTAAGATTGTATTAATTGTCGTTAACAATGAGATCCAACACGAAAGAAATTTATTAAAAATTGTATTGTCATTATTATAATATCTGAAATATTTTGAAACTATTATAGAAAAATAAAGTTTTATATTTCTATCAAAATTTTGTTTTCAAATTTTATTACTAAAAATTCTAGAATTTTCTGCTAAAGTTAATCAGTAATGAAACTTCTATAGATATTGAATCTAAAGTTTGTGAATTATTTTCTTAAACAGAAAAATTGTCAAAATCTATAGATGTATTATTATTTTATATATTATTTTGTACATAGTTAAACAGTTTCGCGGCATATCAGCTTCATCTACTTGTTCTTGCAATTGTTATCATACATCCCTGATGACGACCGTATTATACGATCGCGCGGAAGAATCATGGGAGTTTTCTATTTTAGATCATCGTTATTATCATTACCATTGAACGAAAAAAAGAAAAACGGACAATAGAACCAGACAGTCCAATATTATATCACACGTATTTGCGAAATATCCTTATTCTCATTAACTTATTCCTCTTAATGTTCCGATCTAACTCGCGAGCGCATAAATAATTTACGCTTAAAAAGATTTCGCAAAAGACTTAGTCAAGAACTCTTCGCAGTAAAATCTTTCGTTAGGCATGTTCGATTGGCTCGATCGCGCGATTTGATTCTCTTTATTTCCACTCTTTATATAGAAATCTAGACGATTCTCAAGATTAACAATCGTGGATCTATGATCGCGCGATTCAAGGATTTTACGAGAGAACCGATTTTTCTTCCTCTGCAAAATAAATAATAATCGTACCTTTTTCGTTCGATTTTAATTCGCTGTTAATATGATTAACGCGTTATATTGATATCTGAAAAATAATGCGCTCAAGAACTAATTTACCTAACGCTTTCATTCCTTTGTTCCAAAAAAAATTAACAAAAATAACGCTTAAAAATTCGAATAAATTATTATCGCGAACAAGATATATCTTATGTCTATAAAAACAATCGTTTTGCGAAATCGACTGCGGCCAATGGAGCTCTCTGCGTGCGAGGATAATCGGAAGGATCTAAACTTGGCAATATATGATTTTTAAACACAGATATTATATAAATCATATTTGCATATGTCGTCCAAATTATCACAATCCCCTGTTCTTATGTCATAAATAAATCTTCGAAAAAAAGAATTGTATTAAAGAAAGACAACAGTTTCTGAATATCATCTTGTAAATTTGTAAATTTCATTTGTATATACTATATATAGCTTCTTTATATGCATTGTGTATATACACATATATAATTTTTCTTATATTTTTTTACTATAAATATAATTTCAAATACATTTCCTTAACTGCCAAGTTTAGATTTAATAAGGCTTCCTATAATTAACACGATGATCATCATCGCGATTTTACTATCGATACCCGATTCAATTGATTTTTCGAAAAGTATCGGTTGCGCGGAGAGTAATTCGTGGAATATTTGCGCTATAGAATTCGTTTAACATCGTTCTATCTTCAACACATGCTTTACACGAAAAGTTCTTGCGGTCTATTGTTTGACGTGCGTCCAGCGTCTTTCGCGAAATAATTAATAAATACTTTGCAACTTATATTTACTTTGTAAAACTCGAGATCGCAACCTCATGCAAAATCTACCGCAACTGCATTTGTTTATCGCGCAACGTTCCAATCGTGATTGATTAGCATCGATTGCTTATTCCGTTTGCTTTTCATTAACAATACAATTCTGGCCGACTCGCGGTTGCATTCGAGCTTAGTCTGAATTAAATATATGTGAATTTTTGCTAGGACGAAAGGCCGCTGAACACACGGGACATCCCTCGCCCATCGCATTTTACTTTAAATTTCTAATAACTGATACAACTTCTTTTGATTTTTTTTTTTTTAGATTTTACTCAAAACATTTATGCCCGATGTTTCATGCACACGTACGCACATTCACTCACACATACCGATCATCCGGTCATCAAGCGAACCATCACACGATGTAACGAACAGGACGCGCGCGTCGACGTTTCGTAAATATTTTCAACATCATTTTGCATCACCAGCAACTGGCGCGCTTCGCTTTCAAAATGTTAATTGGAATCACAGAATCCATCAAACCACTAGGATTCAAATAGAAATATTTATTTATTAACAAGAATGAAACGATAGCGACGCGAATGTCCATCTTGAATAACAAACAAAGACTTGCGAAAATAATAACGACTATCCTAAATCCTAAGGCACCTTTCGGCCGCGTACCGAGAACAGCGAAAAAAAAATTAGGAAAAAAAATAATACAGCCAGTTCTCGGCCACAAAAATAACTTTCTCCTGATATTTAAGTAACTCCACATAATCAACATGCAAACTATTTGGCTATTCTTACCGCGTCTGTCGAATTCTCACGGAATGGATAGCCAGATAGCCCTCCTAGTTTCCATGAATCCCATGAATCCGCGTTTTGTTCCGCCCGAACAACCGATGTAACGACGTAATAGTCCCCACAATTACGCACGCAATCGGCATTATTAAGTACGTATCTGTTTTCGTAATTTCGACCGAATACAACGGATTTCAGGGATCGGCTTCGAGAGCGCTGATGACACGCCATTACGCTCGGAACGAATAATATACACGCGATTATTTCTTTTTTTTACCATTTGGTGTCCAGATTGCATTTGCCCATCGACGACGTTGGCGCCGACGACGAGGCTGCCTTCCGTTCAGCACCAGGTGCAGCGCTTCCAGAGAACGGACTAGTTCGTTTGTTCATCTCTAAAAGAAAAACGAATTATTAAGTATTATTAATATCTAAAAAATTTAGATAAATTTTAAATCGTCATGTAAAGGATTTAATCAAGTAGCTTCATACACACAGAGATTTCGAGGAAGAAAAAGAAAATTTTATAGAAATAAAAAACAGATTTTGTTAGTCTCGTAGTGATAACAATAATAGCAAATGAATGTAGACAACTTCCTCAAAATCTTTGTTTTTTGACGTTAGATTATGAAAATCTAACATAGTTTGCCTCAAACATTAGTTTTAAATTGACAATGTGCATATGCAAAGTCTTACATACCAGATATTAATAGCATTATTTTGCGTCTTGCACCCCATGCAGTTATCCCAATTTCACAAAGGTCCTTCTCTGTCAGGGAAGGAAACGTGGCCATGTCCACTTCGTGAGACGTGAACAGGCCTAGCGAATGAAAAGAAAAAAAGCGTGCTACGTTTTGATTTCTTCAAGCAAATGCAGAAGATAGAATAAAAGCAGAGCAATGGCGGTTATCATAATTCCACACTTACGCAAAAGATGTGCGGTTATTATAATTCCACTTACGTATATATTTCTCCAAACCGATACTGGTTAACATGCTGCCTAGATCATTGAAACGATGGGACGACGTAATCTTATTCAAATGGGAGGTCGGCGTATGATCCATATAATTTGAGGCCATTCCAATTTGTCCAATGCGGTCCTTGCTTGAGATAATACTACCAAAATTCATTTCTGTATTGAACACCGGCGTGGTTGGTTCTTTCCATAAATCTGAAGGATGTGATGTCAGCTCCTACGTTCAAATAAAAAATTCTGGCATATCTCAATATAATTTTTAATAGATATTAATATCCCAATTTACTTGTTAAAAAATTATTATTCTATTAAATAATTATCTTCAGAAGAGTAATTCATTCCAAATATTTTTACAAAATATTGCATATTTTTTTTAGATATTAATCTATAATGCCACAAAGAATATTAAATCCTTGATAGATTTGATCCCTTTTTGAATTATTAGAGACATCACGATTTATTTTTTGCCAGAAGTGTTTTATAATCACCTTGCTTAAATCACTCGTAGTTATAGGTGGAATACTTTGACTGAGACCATAACCAGACCAAGCAGACGTCGGTACACGGAAATCGTTGTTGCTCGACTTATTCTGCATCGCCTTTGTAGCCAATAGTTTCTTCTGCTCGTAATCGAAGGGCGTGAGATTTTGTTGCGCAGCCATTTCGAGTGATTTTTTCTCGCAACCAGGTGCACGTCGATCGGTAACTGGTAAATCGGATAACATGCTAGATAGATCCGCTAACAGAAATAATGCTCATTAGTATTCCAATTGATTGTTAACAATAACTAAATCGCTTCTTAAAAAATTTGACTTACTTAGATTAGTATTAGCATCCGTAGGATTTACTGGTGAGATGTTACGAGGACTGATGGCAGGACTAGATAGAGAGCTGGAAACGCTACTTAGCGAAGAGTAAGCTGCAAGTAAGTCGAATGAATTAAATTAATTTTTATGCGTTTTGTAATATAGACCGTTCGGAATATATAAATCGAGAAGCCACTCACCACTGCTACCGTCTTTGTTATCCATCAACGAGTTGGCATTCAGATTATGCATTCCGGAAAAGCTGGTCGGTACATTGTTATGATGGAACGCTCCAATACCAGGAGGCATCACGTGATTTGATAATCCATGAGGTCCGTGAGAAGTTCCCATCATGTTATTGTGCAGCATGTGTTGTGTCGTTAACAAATGGTTCAGGTGAGAGTAGGGATACGGACACATTGACGGAATATAATGATGAGTGAGACCCCAGTGCGATGACAATCCCAGAGAATTCGGTGAGTGCGATATCGGTGAGACACAATACGGCGGATTCTGCGTGTTCACATTTAGCATGCTAGAGAAATTTTCCGACATGCCACTGATCAGATTGTTGTTAGAGCCTAATTAAATATTAGAGAGAATTTATATTAATATTAAAAAGTAAAATATAATAATATGCTTAACATATTAACGAAAAAATAAACATATGGCCGAATTGGCTATATATATAATTTTTTAATTAATTAATTCAATTAATTAAAAAATTTAATTAATTCAAAAATACACACAAAATACGATTTGATGAAATTAATGAAAATATGATCCACAAAAAAAAATGATCCACATTAATAAACTTTTTATAGTATTTTGTGCATATTTTTAAATATATGGAAAATATTTTGAAGTATTTTTTGTGATTCACTGAAGACATAGAAAAGTTTATTAAAAATTTGTATCGCGCAATTTGCTTGCCATATCGTTTCGTTTGATGATATCACATTTCTTTCCGATTACTATCAATTCCGACAAGCGATACTCACTATCGTTATTGGAATTGCCTTGAAAAACATTGCCAGCATTCGGAATGTGATAAGTAACTGGTATATCAGCGACAACCATAGGCTCGTCCAATCCTAGCAATTGCTTCCGCGCCTTGTAAATGTTACTGGCTTTTCTTTCGATTCCCTTAATAATCACGGAAAGCGTGCTTTGTTTCGGCTTGTGGCGCACATTGATAAATACATCCAAAGATTGCATGAGTTGCGAGATCTTTTCAGTATCCACGGAAGCGGTCAAAGAATCTTCCGGCAGATCGAACATAAGTACCAACGGCAATGAGCCCTAAATAAATAAGAATCATCATAATAATAGAGTTACGTATTATTATAATTAATAATATTTGCAAGAAACCAAATCGTGTGTGGAATACAGAACATATATAGAAAACCGGATGTATAAATGTATCTTCTTACCACTAACTGTTGTCTGGCCAAGTAAACGTTATTTATATCACCAGTAATAGTGACATTGCTTTTTTAAGACTGGGTATATTCGGATCGCCGGCATCGGGGAACATAATCTGCGTCGCGTACGTTGCATTATCATTTTTCAGATTGCTTACTTTGTTTCCCTAGCACAATGCTATGATGGTT